AGACCAGCCTGGCCAACATGGTGAAACCCCATCTCTACTAAAAATACAAAATTAGCCAGGCATGGTGGTGTACACCTGTAATCCCAGCTACACAAGAGGCTGAGGCAGGAGAATCACTTGAACCGGGGAGACGGAGGTTGCAGGGAGCCAAGATGGCACCACTGCATTACAGCCTGGGTGACAGAGCAACACCCTGTCTCAGAAAAAAAAAAAACTATTTTATATAGTTAATTTTTATATACTTATATATAAGTAATATGTATTTATATGTAAATATTTTTTGTTAAAGGGCTGGGCCTATATTTTTTTTTTAATGCAAACATGGATACATTTTAGAATATAATATAACATCTGACTGACCTTAAAAATGTGTAAATATGTGACTCCTTTCAGTTTCATACCTTAATAGATGGGAACATATAGGATTTGCTCACTTTCCTTTCTAGCTAAGGGCATGTCAGTGGACAAATCTGGCACTATTTCCAGTTTGGGTGCCTAAATCTTCCCTGGATCCCAGTTTCAATCTCCCTCTTCTGTCAGTTTCAGTCTCATGCCTTACAGAAAAAAATTAACTCTATTCACAACAGGGGAAAGCTAAATCCACAGTTTTACTGATTTCTAAAATGTGAACCCTAGAGATTTTTACTGCTGACTTTTCAGAGTAAAAATTAAAATTATTACAAACCTCTCCAAGGTGAGAGTCTCCAACTGGCCCTTTGGTCTCAGGATTAACAATAACCACTTTCACTCCAGGTAAAATCTAAGAATCAAAGGGAAAATACAAAGATTGGGTTCAGTGAAATCTAATGACCTCCAGGAAACACACAGTTAGTTACCTGCCAGAGAGGTGCGCGAGGCACACAGGGCGGGAGCCAGCTGCAACGGCATCACAGCAGCTACCCTGAGGGGACCATGGCAGAGACCTTGTGTTTTGTTCTCACTGAACCTTCCTAGTTCATTGAAGACCAAAGGTCTAATAAAACTCAGCCTCAAAAATAAAATGGGAGCCAGTGTGCTATCTCTTCAAAGGGATGAGAAACTGCAGATCGGGACCTTCACAGTAGAATTTGTAGAATAACCTTTCCTTTTTCATGCTCTTTCTCGTTCACTGGAATGATGGCAGTGAAACCCTTTAAAACAGAAAGGGCAGCAGGCAGGGACAGCCTGAGTGACTCTACTCCAGACTCCAGCTGTTGCTAGAGTTGGAGGAACATGAAGAGTGAGAGAGGACAGCAGCAGCTTTGCAGGACAGAAGGATATCCACGACCCCAGGATCTTCCTCAGGAAGGAAAAGGAAGACACATATACTGGCTGAGGGAATGGCTCAGCCATTCTAACAAAAAGAAGGGCCTCTCTGGTTACCCATATTCTGCCCCCTTCGAACTCCCTTTTTATCTTGGGTTTCTAAAGTATGAGGTTACTCAAGAAGCCCTCAATCATTATCTGGGTGCAAACATCTAAAACCTCAAGGAAGAGACTAGACAGTTCCCTTAGTCCAGGGCGGGCAGAGGCTAATGCTCATGAGGTGTGCTTGGCTGCTGAGGCAAGTGAAGATGTGACAAGGCAGTGACAAAATCAGCCAAAACCCCACCCCGGCAGATGCAAACGGAGAGTGAGACTGGAGTAAGCGCCCCATGGGGAGATACACCACCAAGTAGGTTTGGCAGGGATTTTTTTTTTCCCTTCACGGTTTTTTCTCTGCCCTTCAGAATTACTAGACAGGATTCTGAGGTATCATCATTATCTCGTCAAAGGGCAGAGAAATTCCCACTTGTCTTGATAATGCATGTGGGTTTCCTATCATTCTTAGTAAACTGCTTCTCACTAAATCTCTCTTTTGACGTTTTATAGCCTCATTCTAATCTAAGAAATCTTACTCCCATAGATGTTAACTCTCTCAAATATCTTTAATCTCATCCCCATTTTTATTTTCAACTTTAAATGCATGTGTGTCTTCCCTGACCTGAAACCACACTCCCATGTCAGCCTCTCCTAGCTTTCTCCTTGTGACATTTGTAAGACAGAACTGAGAAGGGCACAGTGGCTCATGCCTGTAATCCCAGCACTTCGGGAGGCTGAGGCAGGTGATCACCTGAGGTCAGGAATTCGAGACCAGCCTGGCCAACATGGTGAAACCCCTTCTTTACTAAAAACACAAAAATTAGCTGGACCGGCCGGGCGCGGTGGCTCACGCCTGTAATCCCAGCACTTTGGGAGGCTGAGGTGGGCAGATCACAAGGTCAGGAGATCGAGACCACAGTGAAACCCCGTCTCTATTAAAAATACAAAAAATTAGCCGGGCGCAGTGGCGGGCGCCTGTAGTCCCAGCTACTCAGGAGGCTGAGGCAGGAGAATGGTGTGAACCCGTGAGGCGGAGCTCGCAGTGAGCCGAGATTGCGCCACTGCACTCCAGCCTGGGGCACAGAGCGAGACTCTGTCTCAAAAAAAAAAAAAATTAGCTGGACCTGGGGGCAGGTGCCTGTAACCCCAGCTACTTGGAGGCTGAGGCAAGTTCTCCTTGAACCTGGGAGGCAGAGGTTGCAGTGAGCTGAGATCGCGCCACTGCACTCTAGCCTGGGTGGCAGAGTGAGACTCCATCTCCAAAAAAAAACAAAAACAAAACAAAACAGAACCAGCTCTTCTATCCACCTTTCATACAATACAATGAGCACTGCATTTTGCTGGTCTATCAATATGAATAACATATCAGTTGGACTTTTAAAAATTGATGGAAATTAAGAGAGTTCAAATTTACTATTCTTCTTATCTATGTACCCATATGAATTTGAAAGTATTAGCTAAGCTGAAATTATCGCCAGATTTCAATTAAGGCTTGCCCTGGACACTAATATATCATATGGCTTCTGGTTTCTTTAAACTGAACCACTTCTCCACACAGCCCACCTTCCCTATGGTCAACAGAACAAATTACCTTTCCAGACTCCGAGAGAAGCAAACTCTGAGGGGCACCGCGTTCCACAAGACGAACCCTGCAGAAGAACGGTATTTACTGTATATAGGGCTTTTAAGAAGAGAAGTCGCCATATTCCTGCAGCTCAGTGCTGCCTTCCCACGACCTCTAACTTGTCTCTCTTCCTCACACTACAGCAGGGTTTCTCAAACTCAGCACTACTAACATTTTGGCCAGATAATTTTTTGTTGAAAGGGGCTATTCTGTGCATTGTAGAGTGTTTAGCAACACCTCTGGCCTCTGCCCACTAGATGTCAGTAGCAAGTCCCCTTTTATGACAACCCAAAATGTTTCCAGACATTGTCAAATCTCCAGTGGGGTGGCAAAATCTTCCCAGGTTTCAAACTGCTGCATGAGAGAGATGCTCTACCTATGCGGTCTAGGTCAGTGCAGTGGAGCACTCCAGATCACACACCCAGGGGGGTGGGGCTTGGGAAGAGAGGTCTTGGAGCCCTGGGCCAGTGCTCACCTTGGGACACAGCTATAATTCCCTTCTGGGCTAAGGAGGCAGGCTTTTACCCATGAGGCTCAGATAAAGTATTGTTTCAAAAACCCTACTCTGACTCATTTATCTTATCTGTCCTATTATTTTTAAACTCTTAGAGGAAAGAGACTATCCATTTTAGTTTAATTTATATCAAATGTCACAAAATACTTTTATATGGGCAATAACTATTATACTTTAATATTAAAGAACAGTGTAGCAACTGAGAGAATTAAAGCTTTCTTATAAATGTAAATCTTATGTATTAATGATAAAAACAAATCCCTTCCCTCTTCCCATTCCCCTCCTGGAAGATATGAACAAAAGGAATGAGGGAAAATGCTGGCTCTGAGGTTCCGAATTTGTTATGGTTAGGGACTAGTAGGAAAGGAGCATTAATAAATCTGTTGTACCTGTCATGTCTTAGTGATTTCAGATCCACATACACAGTAGTCGGATCAGGCCCTGAGGTTCCCTAAAGAAAGACAAATCAATGCATTGTTTAGAATTTCGATAAACTGTATGTCACATTTTCAAACGAAAACAATTTAGCCATATACATGAAAAATCCACACTCTTTTTGCCTCTCCTCCCTTGGAGAGTGGCCTCCTAGGCCCACTGCTCTCACTCTTATCATGGGGACTGTGGCAGCACTGAAACGTTTCCATGCTGAGGAGGGCTTTCATCCCTGGATTCAAAGCAGAGGTGAGACAGGTCGGCAATCCAGGGACTTGCAAAACCAATATTGGCCACGGTGACAGCAAGAGGGCTATTATGATGGGGCTCAAGGTTAAACCATCAAGACCCTTCTGAAAGAAGAAGGTCACAGAAGACCTGAAATAATCCACCCATGTGTGCTATCTTCTTTCACTCACTTTTGTCCGTGCCTATATTTGCCTTATCAAAGAAACAGGGTCTCAATCTGCCACCCAGGTTGCTGGAGTGCAGCAGTACAATCACAGCTCACTGCAGCCTCAACTTCCTGGGCTCAAGCAATCCCCCTGCCTCAGACTTCCAGGTAGCTGGGACTAGAGGCATGTACCACCAAGCCCAGCTATTTTTTTTTTTGCGGGTGGGTGGTGGGGGTAGGGGAGAGATGAGGTCTCAACTATGTTGCCCAGGCTGGTCTCAAACTTCAGGGCTCAAGCAATCCTCCTGCCTTGGCCTCACAAAGTGCTGGGATTATAGGCATGAACACACTTGGCCCTATATTTGCTTTATTAGCTATTAATACATAAAATTAAGTCTCAGTTCTAGTCCCTTTTCTGTTATTTACCTATCAAGAATAACATGACAAAGCTGCCATCTGGATGGAGAAGAGAATACAAGGTTATTGTTTGAAAAAAATAAAAATAAAGAGGCCGGGCACGGTGGCTCAAGCCTGTAATCCCAGCACTTTGGGAGGCCGAGACGGGCGGATCATGAGGTCAGGAGATCAAGACCATCCCAGCTAACACGGTGAAACCCCGTCTCTACTAAAAAATACAAAAAACTAGCCGGGCGAGGTGGCAGACGCCTGTAGTCCCAGCTACTCGGGAGGCTGAGGCAGGAGAATGGCGTAAACCCGGGAGGTGGAGTTTGCAGTGAGCTGAGATCTGGCCACTGCACTCCAGCCTAGGCGACAGAGCGAGACTCTGTCTCAAAAAAAAAAGAAAAGAAACAGAAAAAAAAAATGGTATAGAATATAGAGAGAGAAAAACAGAAGGTCAGACCGGGCACGGTGGCTCATGTCTGTAATCCCAGCACTTTGGGAGGTTGAGGTGGCTGGATCACTTGAGGTCAGGAGTTTGAGACCAGCTTGGCCAACAGGGTGAAACCCTGTCTCTACTAAAAATACAAAAAATAGCCAGGCGTGGTGGTGCACGCCTGTAACCCCAGCTACTCGGGAGGCTGAGGTGAGAGAACCGCTTGAACCCAGAAGGCGGAGGTTGCAGTGAACTGAGATTGCGCCACTGCACTCCAGCCGGGGTGACAGAGCAAGGCTCCATCTCAAATAAAAAAAAAAAAGAAAAAGGAAAAACAGGTCAGATACAAGTGAAATCCAACTAGGACTCAAATCTTTGTGACTCATCATCATGACCACATGACAGCGACTCAAATAAACACTAACACGTGCTCACTGCTAGCACTGTTCCAAGAGCTCCGAGCTGGCAGCTCAGTGATTGTGCAGAGCTGCCTGGAGAAGCACAGTACTGCTACCTTCACTTTACAGGTGAGCAAAATGAGACACAAAGAAATCGAGATTAAAAAGCCCAAAGTTCTAAAGCAAGTAAGCGTGGCTGAGGCCCAAGCCCAGGCAGCCTGGCTCCAAAGCCCATGCTCTGGGATACTCCACATTCCTCTCCTGTTTGTGAGCAGACAAGATGTCATGAGGGTCACCTGTAAACATATTGCTACATTGACTCTTGATCCAAAAGTGGTGCTGACAGCCCGCGGGGACAGCCCAATGTCTTTGAAGAGCTTGGAGAAGGACTGCTGGAGTGCAACGCGGGGCCGCTCCTCCGCCACCACCACACAGGTCCGGACGCAGGAGAGATTGATCCCTCTGGTCTGCAAGACACCATTATGTGGGAATCAAGTCAGTAGGATCATAAAATAACCGAACAGGTAAGGCCACTGTTCTAGCTCCTTGGTCAGGAAAAGCCAAGTAATTGTGTATTCTCACCTCAGGCATACAGAGAAAAGTAGCTTTCAGAAAAGAAGAAACGGCCAAGGCATCCCATTAAAATCACTATCTGCTGGTAAATTCACTCATTCTCTAGTTCCTTCCTCTTTCTTCTAAAAATCTAAGGCTCTTCAGCAGTACTTTTTTATCCTTCCTCGTTTCTGTACCTTAGATGTCCCCATATTTGATGGGACTGAGAGAAAAATTAATCTAGAACTCTGGCGATCTAATCTCTTGTCTCTATGCATTCCAAAGATCAAATTTTTCTATCAAAGAAAATTCAGTATTTTCTGACTTTCTCATATGCCAGTCAGACAGATCATCATTCGACATACACATGAATGAATGAGTTACCCTTATCTTTGGGGATATTCTGAATTCTTAATATTTTGAGGTTTCAAATTCTATTAGGAAAAGTATTGGAAGCCACAGTTCCCTTTTATGTTTATATAAAGTCTTTCCAGTTAGCCTCCCAACCAGTTCCCCCTTCTAGTCCACAAAGTAAGAATCATATTAAACTGTGAAAGAGTGCACTAAATTAGGAAGGTGGAAGAGATAAACTTGCCAAGGTTTACAACACACCCTTTTTAAACTGAGTGACTTGAAAAAGGCAAGCAAACATGTCTATTAGGCCCTGCTCTGGCTCTGTTATGTCCTGGCTCATTTCTTCAAAACCTTTTGGGACTGCCCACCTGCTGGAGCTGCTTCTTACCTTTAGCACTTCCACTTGGTTGCCAAGTCCTTTGGTGCAGAGCTCCATCACTGAATAGGAGCAGAAAGTGTCCCTTATTTTGTACTGGTTGACCGTGGCGAGCCAGAGGAAAAGGTTGTTCTCTAACTCCATAGGAGGAATTAAGACAGACTGGTGGCCTGAATAGACACTGCAGTGAAATAGACAGCAGCTGGAATCATCAGTTCATCCTCGACACCTGATACTTCAGAACCCCACCAATTCCACAGATAGTTACCGAGTGTAAAGGACAGTGTAGGGACATATGAGATGTAAAGCTCTAAGAATCAGTCTTGTTCCTATACAACTCGCAAGAGGAGCAACTATGAAATAAAGCAGACTGTGGTAGGTTGCTTTAGTCTACATAACATTCTTACAGCTAATTAATATGGTCAAGATGATACTAAATATTCTGGAAAGGTAATTCCTAATAACTAATCTTTAAAACCCCGATGGAGTAGCATTTTTTCCTCTTTTTCTTCAGAAACCTTATGTGTGGACTGGATTTTACTCCCATGGTTTCTTTTAAAGATGTTAATAGCCATTTTATTGATGCTCTGAATATGAGATGTAAATCAAGAACATTGAGATCACAGAATAAACAGCAATTCATTCAAGCTCGATAAGGCAGGGTGAGGGAGTGGTAGTGCTTCACTGAGCTGGTGACACTTGAGCTGGAGCTTGAAGAATGAATATGAATTTGACAGTGGCCAGAAGAAGTGGGGACAGTAGTGAGGGTGTTCTAGGCAGAGGAACAACATATACAAAGGCTGATAAGTACAGCATGTTTGAAGCCATCAGAAATATTATTAGTATTCAAGTGGCCGGGCACGGTGGCTTATGCCTGTAATCCCAGTACTCTGGGAGGCCATGATGGGAGGATTGCTGGAGCCCAGAAGTTGAAGACCAGCCTGGGTAATAAAGCAAAACTCATGCCTCTACAAAAAAGCTTTTTTAACAATTAGCCAGGCGTGGTGGCACACACCTATAGTCCCAGCTACTTGGGAGGCTGAGGTGGGAGGATCACTTGAGCCCGAGAGGCTGCAGTGAGCTGTGACTGTGCCACTGCACTTCAGACTGGGCGACAGATTGAGACCCTGTCTCCTAAAAAAAAAAAAAAAAATGAGAGAGAGAGCATTCAACTGAAATCCTAGCACACAGGGTGCCCGGAGGAGTAAGGCCCGAAGGGCTAAGGCCAAACTATGACAGGGCTTAACCATCATATGAAGGAGTTTATACTTCACCCAGCAGGCAGTCGTTGCAACTTTAAGTTGGGGCAACACTGACAATATGGACATATGGAGTAGGGATTGGTGATACGAGCCACTGAAAGTTGAGAGACAGGAGAGGCTGCAATAGTTCAGGTGAGAGGTGATACAGGCTTGAACCCAACAGTGTAGCCCAGGATAAAAAAGAAGGAATGGGGCTGGGCGTGGTGGCTCACACCTATAATCCCACTACTTTGGGAGGTCAAGGTAGGTGGACTGCCTGAGTCCAGGAGTTCGAGACCAGCCTGGGCAACATGGCAAAATGCTGTCTCTACTAAAAAATTAGCTGGGTGTGGTGGTGTGCACCTATACTCCCAGCTACTCAGGAGGCTGAGGTGGAAGGATCACTTGAGCTTGGGAGGTGGAGGTTGCAGTGAGCTGAGATTGCACCACTGCACTCCAGCCTGGGCAACAGAGCAAGACACTGACTCAAAAAAAAAAAATAAAACAGGCCGGGCGCGGTGGCTCAAGCCTGTAATCCCGGCACTTTGGGAGGCTGAGACGGGCGGATCACGAGGTCAGGAGATTGAGACCATCCTGGCTAACATGGTGAAACCCCATCTCTACTAAAAAACACAAAAAACAACTAGCCGGGCGCAGTGGCGGGCGTCTATAGTCCCAGCTACTCGGGAGGCTGAGGCAGGAGAATGGCGTAAACCCAGGAGGCGGAGCTTGCAGTGAGCTGAGATCTGACCACTGCACTCCAGCCTGGGCGACAGAGCAAGACTCTATCTCAAAAAAAAAAAAAAAAGAAAAAACAAAACAAAACAAAACAAAACAAAAAGAAAAGAAAAAAGGACAGAAAGGAAATATGGATCCTCATATCCATATTCAGTCCATCAACAGGAAGAACTATCAACACAATAGTTTTTTTTTTTTTTTAAGAATAAAAAAAAGGAAGGAACAGGGTTCCTATCATGTCTCTTCTATAGCCACAAAGCTTAAACTCTTGGCTCATACAAAATGGCAGTGATTTTATGCCTAAACCTGTTTACAGATCAGAATCACTAGAAGCTCAGGAATCCTGTATTTCAAAATACTGGTGGTGTGGTCACCACCTCTGGAGATGAAGATTAATAAGTCTTGGGGAGTCCCATTAATTTTTGTTGAAAGACCCCCAGGTGATTCTTATGTACATATAGGTGTAGAACAACCAAGCCAAAGGACATACATTTGATTAGACACAAGACATGAAGATATAGAATCTGAAGATAAGACCCATGTTTCTAGTGTGGGCCCCTATATGGATGATCCTACCCTAACAAAGAGAGAACAGGAGGAGAACGTTGAGCTGCAGGCATCTATGAAGCATTCATGATGTACACCAAGGAGATGAAAATGCAGGTCTGAGATGAGGTTCTCTGGGGGAGTGGTGAGAGGAGCTGGGATCTGTATTCTGCAAGGAGCAACTTGGCCAGGGCAAACGTGCTACTTTCCATCCACATGCTGTCATCCCATCCCACTGTGCTCCTTCCTGCCAAGCCTAGGGGGTACATGCTGGCTGTCAAAGCATGACATATTTCACCCGAGAATCATCATTCTACTTGGCCTTGTTTCTAAAGCAAGGATTACATGGTGGAGAAGAGAGCAAGTAACAGGATCACTGCCATTTTGTATGAAGAATAAAATTAACAGAAAATAACAAAGGGAATACAGACAAAACTGTTTTTAAACAAACTTCACAGACACAGTAGATCCATAAATTCTGAAAACACTAGCATTTTACTGAAACTTTACCAAATTAAGGGAGCAAAGGAAAGGATGAGATGGTCATGGCCATAAAGTACACCCCCACACATTCTGTCTCCTTGGCTTTTCCATCCCTACCTGCAGAGACACCAGAGCGCGAAGCCAAGTCCACAGTAAGGGTCAAGGCAGATGGCGATCTGCCGAGAAGAGTACAACTCACACTGGAGCTTGATGGCTCGACACAGAGCGTTCACTGCAGAGTGGGACATCTGCAAAGTATGGAAAATGGAACAGGCTGGAACTGTCATCCCACAGGCAGCAAAACAGCTCTGACGACAGCTTTGAGGAGTTTCAATTCCCTAAACTCCTCAAAACAATGTATAATTTTTAGTGCTTCAAAGCCTAACCTAAGTCTCCATTAAGGAAGGGAACATATTTCTGTTCATTAGTTAATAATAATTTTTTTTTTTTTAAGACGGAGTTTCGCTCCTGTTGTCCAGGTTGTGGTGCAATGGCACGATCTCAGCTCACCGCAACCTCAGCCTCCCAAGTAGCTGGGATTACAGACATGCACCACCACGCCCAGCTAATTTTCTATTTTTAGTAGAGAAGGGGTTTTCCATGTTGTTCAGGCTGGTCTCGAACTCCAGACTTCAGGTGATCTGCCCGCCTTGGCCTCCGAAGGAGCTGGGATAACAGGCGTGAGCCACTGCGCCCAATCTAATACTGAATTTTATGATATCTAAACATCAGATTTCATACATATTTTAACAAACTCTTATCTTTCAGCTTCAATGCCAGGTTCAGACACTTAATACAAATTCCTTGCGATAACTCATTCCAGAGGAGCCAATGCCTTTATTTAAATAGAGCAGCGACCCTTGATCCTCACTCTGCCTACCGGTCTCTGGTACAACCACTTAGCCTCTGCGTCTAAAGTTTCTGGGGCAGTGGTCATCTCTATTTTTTGGCAGACGTGGCATTTTTCCAGCATGCAGCTTACCTTCACTCCTGTAAGCATGCCAGTTGTGGAGACACTAAAATCAAGATATGCCAACATCTCAGGAGTGGGTGGTTTATACAGCTGAGGTAACCTTTTCCTGGGTAAATCATCTGCCATGAAAAGAAAAAAACCTGATGTCAATCCAACATGCGGGAACATGAAAATCATTGCTCTTCAACTGGTTTTCTGTGGCTTTGCTATGGCCAAATTTAGCTTTGGGGATTTGCTAAAGCTTAGGCTTCTCCTATTTAACCAAGTAGCTCACATATGTCATTCTCAGAGGTAGGCTGGGGTTGAGGACAACACTGGACAACCCAGGCAAGCAAATCTACATCAGGTAAATGTATCTGCTAGCAGCTTAGTAAGGGGAAATAGAACACAGTAGGAAGCAGACTGCTGTTCAAATGCCAGCTCTAGCATCAGCTACGTGACCCTGGAGTTATTTCACCTCTTTGTGGCTGTTCTCTTCTTCTCTAAAACGAATCTCTAAAATAATACCTACTCTCATAGAACTGTTGGGAAGTTAATTCACATAAAGCACTTTTAAAGCAACCTACTGAAGAAATGCTTAAAAAGCATTAGCTGTTATGCTGGTTTCAAGTTAAAGTTCATTATTTACACTTTAGTATGTGTTATATTAATCATGTATGGATTTAAAAGTTGGGAAGTATTTCTCTAAGTTAACTTAGCAGATTTTTTTTTTCTAAAGACAGAGTCTTGCTCTATTGCCCAGGTGGGAATACAGTAGCTTGATCTCGGGTCACTACAACCTCCATCTGCTGGGCTCAAATGATCCTCCCACCTCAGCCTCCTGAATAGCTGGGACTACAGGTCTATGCCACCATGCCTAGCTAAATTAAAAAAAAATTTTTTTTTTTTCCAGCGGTGAGGTCTCACTATATTGCCCAGGCTAGTCTCCAACTCCTGAGCTCAAGTGATCCTCCTGCCTCAGCCTCCCAAAGTGCTGGCATTACAAGCATGAGCCATGGCGCCTGGTTAAGCTGGCAGAATTTTAAGAATAGTAATCTATCTGGGTGCAGTGACTCAGGCCTATAGTCCCAGCTACTTGGGAGGCTGAGGCAGGAGGACTGTGTGAACCCAGGAGTTTGAGACCAACCTGGGCAACATATCAAGATCATGTCTCTTTAAAAAAAAAAAAACGGTGGCTAGGCACAGCGGCTCACACTTGTAATCCTAGCACTTTGGGAGGCCGAGGCAGGTGGATCACTTTGAGGACTGGGGTTCGAGACCAGCCTGGCCAACATGGTGACCCCTGTCTCTACTAAAAATACAAAAATTAACCAGGCATGGTGGTTCATACCTGTAATCTCAGCTATTCGGGAGGCTGAGGCAGGAGAATTCCTTGAACCTGGGAGGTGGAGGTTGCAGTGAGCCGAGATCGCAGCCCTGCATTCCAGCCTGGGTGACAGAGTGAGGGCTCTGTCTCCAAAAGAGAATGGTAGCCAAGAACTAGTAATTCGCTGCTTTCACTCATTTATGATACCTCCTCTACTTCCCCCCGTGTGCTTTATAAGTATGCTAAAACTAGGGATGTCAGAGATGTCCTTTGGCTCCAGCCATACCTCTTCAATGGCTCCTTTGGCTTTCTGGATCAAGAAGGACGTCTAACTGTGAGTTTTAAATCACCAAATCATGGGGCACCCATTTCTGGTCAAATGAAAGACTATCACCTTTGACCTCCCTTTATGCAGGGAAGGGTCACTCATATGACCACTCAAATGCCTAAAGAAACCTTCCTGTTGTGATTCAGCCCATTAACCATAGACCTACCAGCATCCTTAACACCAACACAATCCATTTGTGATACATATATATACAACTGTGCTTCTATCCTTCAGTAATAAATATTTTAAAAACCGAGTTCGGCATCTGGTACACAATAACCACAAATACATGTCATTCCTGCATTTGAATCCAGTTTTTTTAATAAAAAAAAAAAAAGGGTAGGGAGGACATTAATGGTTAAGAGGCTGGGAATGGAGCCAAACTGGCTGGATTTGAATTTCAGTTCTGCTGCTTATTTAACTTCCCTCAGTTTTCTAATCTGCAAAATGAGGATAAAAATAACAACTTATAGGGTAAGGATAAAAGCATATAACACATTAAATGACTGACATAACGGCTCAATGAAGGTTAGATGTTATCATTATGATTACATGCTAGGAGCTTTGCATTACATCATTTAATCTTTACAACTCCCACTTTATAGACAGGTTAGTAAGGATACTCAGAGAGTAGCAGATATAGCAGGACTTAAACCCTACCTGCCTGACTCCAAAACCCACATTCTTCCTATACCACAGCTTTTTCAGCTATTCCCTTATCTTACCCCCTTCTTTAATATGAATACTATCTAAAAATTTTGCACTTTATGGCTTTCAAAGTATAGTATTTTCATATTACACTGCATTTTATCTTCTCAATAAATATACAAGTCAGGCAGGGGTAGGCAGTAGCTTAGGAAAGGGTAATTTCAGTCAAGATTACACAGGCAGTAGGTAATGAAGCTTGAACCAGAACCCAAATCATCTGACTCCCAGTTCAGTATTATTTCAACAATATCACATCTCGAACAAAAGGATCAGATTGTCTCAATATTTCACTTGGCCCTACATATACATAGTTACATGTAGCATAAAAACCTAACCACCTTTTGATGATGCCAAGAGTAACAGCAAAACACTTTTGTTTAGAGAGCTCTTAGCAGACTGTGATCTCGCCCTTTGCATCTGCTGTCAGTGTTTAGTCCTGCACAAGCTTACTGATGCTAGGTTTTGCCTCTGTCTTAGCAGGCAGAAGACATAAAGGCAGGGTAAACAAGTCTGGCATGAGAAGAGGCGAGATCTCAGGTATTGTGAGCTCTCACTCCCTCCACCCTCAGGAGAAGTCTCCCTTTCACCTGTGTCAATGATGGTTGGCCAGGTTTTCACATCCACTGCTGCTGCTGCCTCTCGGGACCTCAGTAGCCGCATTAGGGTCTGACCGGTGAGAATACAGGCTGCTTTGCTGACCTAGAAAACAAATGGACAACAATAAGCATCAGGAGGTTCAGCCCCAACACGGCACCACAGGCCCTGGCTGCTGCTAAAAGCCACTCATGTACTACACTGGACAGGACAGTTTTAAAGAACACATGTGGGACAGATGAGGTCAGTTTACTCCCTTGCATGTTTCCTTCTGGAAATGTGTGACATTTAACTCTCTCAGGATGATGGACCTGTTCACAATACACTGTATTGTTTATAACAGTGATTCTCAAAATATTTCATAATTATAATCTCAGTATGGATCCCACAATCCCATGATTTCATTAAGACCACAATTAAATAAAGATGTGGATTTTGTAGTGCTCAGGAAATGAGAAGAATCAGATAACCATGTTTGAAGGAAACTGCCCCAGTCTCTAGTGAATAACGAGACTTACTACACCTAGACCATACGCTGATCCTAAGGAACCCCGATGCTGATATAAGCTCTCACAGAAACTAGGTTCTCTTGCCCAGCTATACACAGAAATGCAAAGTGACCTACTTTGCCCACGAACTGCATCAACAGCAACTCCCCTCCCTGCTTTTCTGGCCCACTTTGTAGAATATAACAAGGGCATTTTGCTGAATTACACTTTGTAATAAAATCATCTATGGTGATCATGGCTTTTATACCGTGGGCTCCTTTTCTGCTGACAGAGCAGCAGTTCTTTTTTTTTTTTTTTTTTTTTTTTGAGATGGAGTCTCGCTCTGTCACCCAGGCTGGAGTGCAGTGGCCGGATCTCAACTCACTGCAAGCTCCGCCTCCCGGGTTCAAGCCATTCTCCTGCCTCAGCCTCCCGAGTAGCTGGGACTACAGGCGCCTGCCACCTCGCCTGGCTAAGTTTTTGTATTTTTAGTAGAGACGGGGTTTCACTGTGTTAGCCAGGATGGTCTCAATCTCCTGATCTCGTGATCCGCCCGTCTCGGCCTCCCAAAGTGCTGGGATTACAGGCTTGAGCCACCGCGCCCGGCCAAGAGCAGCAGTTCTTAGAGAAGCAAATGCTACATGAACTGGAATTTTGTAATCTATCAGCACTGGCCAAGGCTTCCCCTTGTTGTAAACACTAGGATCTGATGCAATACACACTTACCTTATTTTCTTTAACTCTCATATCCTATAAAGACTTCTATCATCTCCAGAGTAAGGTCTGGACACCTTTTAATGCTACACCAAGTAAATTCACAAAAGTAACTAAAATAGAAGTGACCTGACACCACGGTTAATTCAGTTTGGCATTTAAAATCACCCAGATAATTTAGCAGGAAAAATATCAGACATCACATTTTAGACAGAAGGGGAGGGGGAAACTTTTTTTTTTTTTTTTTTTGAGACAGGTTCTGCTCAGGCTGGAGTGCGGTGGTGTAATCTCAGCTCACGTCTAACCTCCACCTCCCAGACTCAAGGGATCCTCCTGCCTCAAGGGATCCTCCTGAGTAGCTGCGACTACAGGCATGTGCCACAATGCCTGGCTACTTTTTGTGTTTTTGTTGGAGAAATACTAATGGCTGCTTCACCTCCTTAATGTTCATGATAACTGCATACAATTCTGCATCTCACCAATAACCACTTTCCCCCAGTTCCTTCGCTGAATAATGATGGTTGTTTTGGCTTGACTAACAAAAAGGAGGTAGTTTCCAGGAGACAAATTTGAATTCCTGACTTAACAAAATTGGAAAATTAGTAAGGATCCTTAGCTGTCTGAATCTGGATTTTAGGAGATGAGGACAAGGCAAGATACAGCTGGTACTTACATCAACAATCATTCGGACAGTGGGCAGCGTGGCCGTGAGGTTCTGAGCATGTGGAGGTCTGACCGTCACAGGTATACAGCCCGCATACAGGCAGCCATAGAAGGCAGCGATTAACTCAATGCCTGCAAGACAAAAGACCCTGTCAGGAGAGGCACTGAACTGCCTAAGAGCACTGAGAAACTAAAAGGCAAATTTTCGAAAACGGTTAAATCATGTGCAAGACAGGTTCTGTAGACCATAATTTAACAGAGACTCTAGCAGAAGATATTGAAAGTGAAAGAAGGAAGCATATAAAACTTTAGAAAATATAGAGAAAACAATTAACAAAAAAGGAAGGAAATCAGAAGTAAACTCCTGAAATATTTCTGAAGAAGGTATATTGATATTATTACTTTATATTACTCAGGAGAAGTAACTGGAGAAACCAGGAATGGTTAATTAGGAAAATAAAAGAATGGAGAAAGGAGAGGTGAGGAAGCCCTTAGCTTTTTAAAAATATTTAGATGGCTGCTCTAAAAAGAACAATCAGACTTCTTAGATGTTGTTGAAGGGGTGTGAGTTTTAGGGAGCAAAGTATGACTCAGTCTGAGGATGACTTTGGGCAGAGGCCTCCTTAGGAAGAGCTCAGGTCCTTCCCCGTGGCCTCTCGCCAACTGACAGGTGCAAGGCCATCTCCTGGGCATACAATAGCGGGGACTGCTCTATCACGTGATCTTCTATGAAATCTCAGTATCTAGGTAAATAAGGCAGCTCATAAGAATCACAGAATGAGCCAGGCCTTGTGGCGCACACCTATAATCCCAGCACTTTGGAAGGCTGGGGCAGGTGGATCACCTGAGGTCAGAAGTTTGAGACGAGCCTGGCCAACATGCTGAAACCTCATCTCTACTAAAAATACAAAAATTAGCTGGGCATGGTGGCGGGTGCCTGTAATCCCAGCTACCCAGGAGGTTGAGGCAGGAGAATCACTGGAACCAGGGAGGCAGAGGTTGCAGTGGGCTGGGATCACGCCACTGCACTCCAGCCTGAGTGGCAGAGCGAGACTCCGTCTTAAAAATAAAATAAACAAAAAAATCACAGAACAATATGAAGTGTGGGGGGATAACAGGCCAAAAAAAGCTGGATGTATGAGTGGATTAGGTGACAGAAATAACGAAGGGAAGACTCAAATATTTCACCCAGAATTTTGAATCTTTATGCCAAATAATTCTGAACCCCTCTTACTATGAAGACAAGGTTGTTGAATTAAATCAGAACATGAAAGTAGCAATAACAAAAGAAGACTAAATCATAATATGAAAACTCACATCCCTTCAACAACATCTAAGAAGTCTGATTGCTCTTTATAGAGCAGCCTTCTAAATATTTTTTAAAAGCTCAGGGCTTGCTCACCTCTCCTATCTCCATTCTTTTATTTTCCTAGTTAACCATTCCTGGTTTCTGCAGTTATTCCTTCTGAGTAACATCAATCATAATATGAAAAATGTTCACAGAATTCACGCACAACATTTCTTTGGGGACTGGGTGAAATTGCCCCATTCCTGAACATTCACAGAAACAAAGCATCTGTTTTGAGAGTTTCCAAAAGCCAAGCAGCTGAAGACTTCATTCATTCATTATTTATTGAGTGACTTTTATGTGCCAGGCACTAATAGAAACATAAGGGTGCAAAAACAGACATGGTCCCAGGAGAGCCACTGTACTGCACAACCTGCGGGGTGAGGCTTGGTTCCCACTTCGACCTGTGTGCATGGTCTTCTAAGTGTTGGGAAGTACACTGCCTGCACGTCATAGAGAGCGGCCCTGAGTGCCTATCCTCTTATAATTTGTAGTCAGTCTAGTATTGGAGCTTAAAGTCTAGTCTACCAATCCAATGCTTACCAGGTGGATAGAGCAACACCACATTATCTCCTGCATTTAGATGTCCCTTATCACCAAGAACGGCCGCAATCCTCTCTGCTCGTTTATGAAGCTGAAGGCAGCTGGCTGTGCATACAGTGGTTCCCTTTAAACAACAGAAAGGATATAAACTCAGAAAGCAAATAAACTATAATAAGCACAGCCAGTTCAACACCATACCTGAAAAAGGCTTGTGCCTTTGTAGATTATCCTTAGCAAATTATCAATTCTAGTGAAAATTCCCCTAAAATCAAAGACGTGTGGAGCTGGACAGGGTGGCTCACACCTGTAACCCTAGCACTTTGGGAGGATGAGGTGGGGGCACTGCTTGAGCCCAGGAGTTCAAGACAAGCCTTGGCAACATAGCAAGATCTCCTCTCCACTGAAAATACAAAAAAAATCAGTCAGGTATGGTGGTGGCACGTGCCTGTAGTCCCAGCTACTCAAGAGGCAGAAGTGGGAGGATCACTTGAGCCAATGCCTGGGCGACAAAGCGAGATTCTGTCTCCAAAAACAAACAAACAAACAAACAAACAAACAGACAGACATGTATGGGATCCTTTTTTTTTCTTTTTTTTGTTCTGACATGGTCTTGCTGTTGCCCAAGCTGCAGTGCAGTTATGTAATCACAGCTTACTGCAGCTTGCAGCCTCCAACTCCAGGTTCAAGACATCCTCCTGCCTCATCCTTCCAAGAAGCTGGGATTATAGGCATTAGCCACCATGCCTGGCTGACATTTTTAAAAGAAATATGAGAACCTTAATGAATCCATGGGCTTGAAAAGAAGCTCACTTCATGTAAAGGTAGAGCAAGAAACTTCCCAAATTTTCTGTCATAAAAGTAATGGTTCTTAAGATTTTTAATGATTTTTCAATAAGATGCACAGTATATTCTTCTCATTAAGTTCTATTATTGCATACATTCCTCAAAAAAAATAAAAATAAAAATCAGATTCCAGGGGAATGGGGGAGATGGGTATACTTTGGATAAGTCCCCTAAGAGCTTCAATAGGCACTTCCAGTCTTCCCCCTGCTGAGGAGAAATACTGCTATCCACATGGTCACAGACTTTGAGCCTGTGACTCAGCCATCAACACAAAAACTCAGCTGACTCCCACAGAATGCATAATTTTAAAATACAATATATAGGCCGGGCGTGGTGGCTCACGCCTATAATCCTAGCACTTTGGGAGGCCAAGGAAGGTGGATCCTGAGGTCAGGAGTTCGAGACCAGCCTGACCAACATGTGAAACCCCGTCTGTATCAAAAATATAAAAATCAGCTGGGCCTGGTGGTGGGCGCCTGTAATCCCAGCTACTCGGGAGGCTGAGGCAGAAGAATCGCTTCAACCCGGGAGGCGGAGGCTGCAGTGAGCCGAGATCATGCCACTGCACTCCAGCCCAGGCGACAGAGCAAGACTCCATCTCAAAAAATATATGTGTATTTTTTCTTTTTATATATATTTATATATCATATTATATATTATATATTATATATTATATATAAATATATATATATACTTTTTTTCTTTTTATTTTTGAGACAACGTCTTGCTCTGTCACCTGGGCTGGAGTGCAGTGGCACAATCTCGGCTCACTGCAACCTCTGCCTCCTGGGTTCGGGCGATTCTTCTGCCTCAGCCTCCCGAGTAGCTGGGATTACAGGCGCCCACCACCAGGCCCAGCTGATTTTTATATTTTTGGTAGAGACGGGGTTTCACATATTGGTCAGGCTGGTCTCGAACTCCTGACCTCATGTGATCCACCCGCCTCGGCCTCCCAAAGCTTTGGGATTACAGGTGTGAGCCACCGTGCCCAGTCCTAAAATACAATATTATAACGAACCATCTGTCAGAAACCAGTAGTTAAATGTGCTCTTTGAGTAAATTTCAATTTGCTTTTTATCTGTTAGCAATAAATCATTTAATTATGTACCAGAAATAACTTAGGTTTTTAAAATGCTGGTCTGAGGTCATTTTCTTCCTGGCAGAAATCAAATAATTAAAAGTCCAACCGGGTAAAAAAACTATATGACATAACACATTTTGAACATCTGTGTATCTATGTAATTGCACTGTTGGCTCCATTTCTCCTATCATAATTGAATAAAGAAGACATGCTTGTACCATAAGAAAAGAAAGTATTACATAGCACTCCAGGAGGTCTCATTCCAATCCTAAAGTGATTGCACAGTTTACCCTCATATGTCAAAGCAAGGAGAAAGCCATTAACTCCTTCTTCAGAGATGGCAACACAAATTTTCTGATGAAAGAAAGCAATCAAGAGTGCTTAAGATAGTCCTATAGTCGTCAGCTGATTAGATATACCATTGAATTTTTAATACCTTGGCATTTAACAGCATGAAGAGTACATGGTCAGGAGTCGCCTGGGCTCGCCACTGTAGGATCTCTGCCAGAAACTGGTGCTAAAGTCATAAACCAGAAAAAGCACTCAGGGTCAGCAACTTATAACAAGTCACATAATGTATCCCTCAGCTGCTACCTGCAGTACAAGTTCTGTCCTTGACTTGATTTCAGTAAGAAGGCAACATTTCAGGAACACTTACCTTCCTCACCAAATCATTCTCTTCTATTTGTCCCAGATCCCTTCCAGCAGCTTGTGCTATACGTTTTCCAGCAACCAGATTCCCAACCATCACGGAAGCAGGGCCTACACCTGTAAATGAATGCAAAACCCAACTCACTGGAGATGGCAATTCCAACTAAGTATCCAGAGCATTTCCAGACTGACCAAAACTGGTTCAAATATTTATCCAACAATACTGACTGAACATTCTTCTAGGCACTGGGAACCCAGGAGCAAACAGGGCAAGGAGCCTGCACTCTGGAGAAGGGTAACCAAGAAATACATACACAAATAAATAAACACAAATAGTGCAAAGTACTGGAAACAAACAAACAAACAGGAGGAACACAGGAGGGATAGGGACTGGGGTGGAGGGAAGCAGGCACCTATTATAGTTTGGGGTATACAGAAAGTTTTCACACTGAGGAGGTGACAGCTGGTTGCACAAGCTCCTACTAATATTTTAATCTTCTCCAATCATAATAGAACCCTAAAAGAGGGCTTAACAATAAAGAATATCTGGCTTGGAAAGAAATTTGTCATCTACGAGGCCTGAGGGAGTTTATCTAGAATATTAAATTTGTTCAATTAAAAGTGAATAATGGCCGGGAATGGTGGCTTACGCCTGTAATCACAGCACTTTGGGAGGCTCAGGCGGACAGATCACTTGAGCCCAGGAGTTTGAGACCAGCCTGGGCAACATGGCAAAACCCTGTTTCTACAAATACAAAAAGATTAGCCTGGTATGGAGGCAGACATCTTTAGTCCAGGCTACTCGGGAGGCTGAGGTGGGAGGATCGTTTGTGCCAGAGTTCAAAGCCGCAGTGAGCTGAGATCGTGCCACTGTACTCCAGCCTGGGCAACAGTGTTAAGACCCTGTCTCAAAAAAAGCAAAAACAAAAACAAAAAAAACTCAGGGAAAAAAATGTCAGCAATGCCAGGCATGGTGGCTTGCTCCTGTAATCCTACCAATTTGGGAGGCAGAGACGGCAGACCATGTGAGGCCAGGAATTTGAGACTATCCTGGCCAACACGGCAAAACCCCATCTCTACTAAAAATACAAAAATTAGCTGGGCGTGGTAGCTCACACCTGTAATCCCAGGTACTCAGGTGGTTGGATCCTGGATGGCAGAGGTTGCAGTGAGCCGGATCACACCACTGCACTCCAGCCTAGGCAACAGAGTGAACTCTATCTCAAAAAAAAAAAAAAAAAAAAAAAAAAAAGGCAGCAATTGGTAAATCTAGGGTAGGTTACATGGGTGCTCCTCACCGTACTATTCTTCTAACTTTTCCATAGGTTCGACACTTCAAAATAAACAGGGGAGCCCACTCCCTCTCTAGAAAAAAGTGCTAGGCACTGTGTCCCTCTCTTCATGGTCACTGCCTTATGGAACTAAGAAGATGGCAAAAAGATGATTAAAAAAAGCTTATTGCCAGCTAGGTTTTAAATAAGGCTGATGCTATACTGGATTAATATTTAAAATCTTTTATTTGACCAGGCGCGGTGGCTCATGCCTATAATCCCAGCACTTTGGGAGGCCAAGGCGGGCGGATCACGAGGTCAGGAGATTGAGACCATCCTGGCTAACACAGTGAAACCCTGTCTCTACTAAAAATACAAAAAAAAAAATTAGCCAGGCGTGGTGGCGGGCGCCTATAGTCCCAGCTACTCGGGAGGCTAAGGCAGGAGAATGGCATGAACCCAGGAGGCAGAAGTTGCAGTGAGCCAAGATGGCGCCACTGCACTCCAGCCTGGGTGACAGAGCGAGACTCCATCTCAAAAAAAAAAAAAACCTTTTATTCTATCAAAATCTGCTGATCCTGAATATACTGAAACAAATGAAAGAAAAATCACTTAAATCATATAATCAATTTTCAAAGGGTAAATATTTGGGGAAGCTGGGTAAAGGATGTAAGGAAAATCTTTGCACCATGTGGCAACTTTTGTGTGTGAAATTATTTCAAAATGGAAAGTTTAAAAAATTTAAAAATAAAACAAAAAACTCAAAAAAGATAAAGTATTCCAATTGGTGAACAGTTTTAGTCTAGAAAGTCTCTACTACAATTTTAAGTAAATACGCAATATTACTCCCTAAGAAACTTCATGACAAATTATAGATATATCATGTTGGAGATAGCCTTTTAATACAGGCAGGGACTCAGAGTGTATTTCTGTAAACTGTGCAATCCAGGATTCACATTATAAAATTAATAAAGGCATGACATTTTAAAAAGTGAATTTTGCAGTAGTTTAAAACAATAAAACAAATTCAGCAGCAGTTCCTTGATGTTATTCTGTGTGCATTTCGTGAGTCTATGGGTCTATGGGTCACAGAGAATGAAAGATACTGAAAGCAGTAACTCCAGGAAGCTAATTGCAGACACTGCTGTACTGGTAAATATGCCTTCTGATTTTCCCATAAAATTCTGTAAACATCTTATGCCAAAAACTGCTAGTTATCAATTCCAGTATCTATTCTATTCTTCTTCCTTAATAACAGAACTCCCAGTTTTTAGCTGGACACACAGCTGGAATGAAGACTATATTCTTTAGTGTGGGAGGATAATACGTTAGAGGAAGTAACATGTACAATTTCTAGAAAATATGTTAAAGGGAAGAGTATCCTTTCTTTATCTTTTCCTCCTACCTGCTGGCTGGGATGTAGAGGTTGAGGAGCCTAATGAGCCCTGGGGCAGTTGCTAATGATGGCTGTGGCAGATTATTTTATTTTCTCACAATCTTCCTTTCTTTCCTGTCCTAGTTATGTCTGGATGGGAGAAGTATACTTCTTGTTTAGGACAATGAAATGTTAGGACATGTGACACAAACAGAAGCTTTAAATATGCTCGTGTGGCTTGGCTTGATTTCTTGCTTCTGCCATCTGCCTTAAAAAACATACGGCCCAGGTAGCTGCTGGCCCCGTGATGAGGAGACACATGGAACAGCTCTGAACCTAACCTAAGCCTGGAGCCAAGTCAAGTCCAGTGGATTCCAGCCAAGCCAACCAGATCTACATCTCATGAGTAAACAGTAAATGCTTGCTACTTCAAGGCACTGAGTTTTAGGGTTATTTGTTCTGTAGCGTATCTATGGCAAGAGTTGACTGACAAAACACCAGAGCAAAAAGATGGGAAGCTAGAAGAACATGATCGAGGAGTGACTATCCTAGCCTTTGGACTACCTAGCTCTGAACTTTTTTTACCTGACAAAAATATAAGCTTGTTTCTTGCCTGAGCTGCTATTATGTTTTTCTGCAACTTGCAGCCAAGACTAGTCCTAACAAACACATTCTTTCTTTCTACAATAGCTCCAAAGGCATCTCAAGGATATCTTGGCCTCCGGGCTGCCTTAACACCTTTTCCATCTTCCCTTTCCTCTCCTTCTTTTTTGTTGAAACAGGGTCTGGTTCTGTCGCCCAGATTGGAGTGCAATGGTGCAATCTCGGTTTACTGCAACCTCCTAGGCTCAAGCCATCCTCTGTCAGACTCTGAAGTAGCTGAGACTACAGGTGTGCACCACCAGGCCTGGCTAATTTTTTGC